TCATGTGTGCTTGTGGAGGTCAGAAGACAGCTTGTTGGTCCTCTCCTTCCATCACTGGGGCCCAGGGATCAAACTCAGGTCGTCAGCCTTGGTGGCAATGCCTTTATCTTATGAGATTTCACGGGCTTGACTGGTAGTAATTAAGACTGGAAAATTAAGCTGGCATGGTGGCATATTCCTTTAATGTCAGCACTTAGGAGTTCGAGTTCGAGGCCAGACTGGTCTACAGAGTGTGTTTGAGGACAGCTAGGGCTATAGAAAGAAACCCTGTCTTGAGAACCAAAACAAAGAAGTAAACAACTGGAAAATTCAATCCCTGATTGGTTGGGGTCTGCTGTAGTCCATGATGGTCTTATTAAAATGGAGTGTTGATGAGGGCCATTCCATTGCTTGCAGAATCCTTCATTCTGTAGTAGAGAAGTTCGGGTTTCCAAGGGAAGGGCTTGGTTTTGAGAGTGGAGAGGCAAACTCGTCGTGATGTTGTTAAGGACATGGACTTTGGAGGACAGGCGGACTCAAATCCTGGCTCGCAGTTGCTGTCATTGGAACAGGTTAGGTGTGTCGGCAGTCTTAGGTTCCAGCCTTTTTTCTTTGATGTGGTAATGATGCCATTGTCTTTTGATTCTGAAGATTTAAATGACAATGTATGGCTGAAAGTAAACCTCCAGTAATAACAGTAAGTTGTAGTCACCGTTTTTTGTCTGTTTTAAGATTTAATGGTGCCTTTCTAACTTTTGGGCCGATGCTCTTTGTATAGATTACAGGTTCTGCTCCGAGAGGAGCTGTGGGGCCACATTAAGTAACAGAGCAGGTAGGTGGGAGCCGCTGAGGTGATTTGCTCTCCCTTTGGGATCTTTCTGTGACTTCTAGGGGTGCTAGTGTATTATAGGAGTGGGATCTGTCTGGGCAGGAGAGCTGGTCTGACTATTGTTCAAGAGTAGGAGTTAAAGTTCGAGGAGAGGCAGGGAGACAGGCTAGAGGACGCACTCCCCCTTAACACTCAAGCTCCACCCCTTTCACACTCAAGCTCCTCCCCTTTCCCCACTCAGGCTCCTCCCCTTTCACACTCAAGCTCCTCCTGTCCTCACTCTCTTCCCTTCATCCCTTTCTCCTTTAAAGAGTTGGTAGTGGGTTTTGTTTGCTCCTCTCACTGAGGAGTTGGCTTGCCTGGAACTCACTATGTATCTAAGCTAGCTCCAACCTCACAACAATCCTGCCTCAGCCTTTCAAGTGCTGGGATTCCAGGTGTGAATCCACCATGCCTGGCTTTTGACAAGTTATTAGATTTTAGATAATATCTATTAAAGCAAATTTGAGAGGCTAGACCGACAGACAGATCAGCAGTTCAGGGGACTTGCTGCTCTTACAGAGAACTGGAATTTGGTTCTAAGCACCCACATGGTGGCTCACAACTGTCTTTAACTCTAGTTCCAGGGGATCTAACATCCTCTTCTGGCTCCAAGGACACCCAGCATGTACTTGATGCATGTACATACGTGCAGATAAAGCCACACATACACATAAAATAAAAACAAATATTTAGAAAGGAATTAAAGAAAATTTGAGCATAAAATGTAAATATTTTATGTAAAATTAAATTCTACCTACTCTTATCAATGGCAATCTATTCATTAACATTCTTTTCATGCATTTAAAAATAGATGATAGTAATGTTTTATATTCCAGTACGATTTCAAAGAATTAGTTTTGCAGTGTGTGTTTGCCTATGTGTGAATGTACATTTGTGTGCATGTGAAGGCCGAAGGTTGACCTCAGGAGTCTTCCTGGCTCACTCTTCACCTTATGTGTAGTTAGAGGGAGAGCTCTTGGTTGGCTCCAGAGCTCTCTGCTTTCGCCCTTTTAGCTGGCTTGCTCTGGTGACCGTTTCCACCTTGCACACTGGGATTGCAGGTAGGCCATCACCATTTACACAACACAGACCTGAACTCTAGGTTTGCTGCGGCAAGTGCTCTACCTACTGAGCTACCTCCCCAGACCCTCAAATACTCTTTTAATAAAAAGCAAAACAACAACCCCCCCCCCAACTGAACTAGTCAGATAGTTATAAATCAGAAAGGGAGAGGGGAAAGGGAATTCCTCATTTGTAAAACTGAAGGTGGCATCTACTTAAATTCCTCCTAGACATTCTGGAGAAAGGACAACTTCTGTTTTAAAAATCTTCTGTACTTTCTGCTGTTTCTTCTTTGTTTGGCGTACTGATTACTTTTCTGCTGCTGTGATAAAACACCGAGACCAAAGCAACTTGTATTTGGGCTTAACAGTTCCAGAGCGGTGAGAGTCTGTCATCATGGGGAAGCATGGCAGCATGTAGCAGACATGGCGGCTGGGGAGGAAAGCTGAGAGCTCACACTTGGAATTAAGCTGGAAGCAGAGAGCATGAACTAGAAATGGCGCAAGGCTTTAAACCCTTAATACCCTTCTCCAGTGACATATTTCCTCCAACAAGGCCACGCCTCTTAAACCTCACCAAAGAGGGCCATAAGTGTTCAAATGCCCGAGAGTATGGAGTATGACGGACATTTCTCATTCAAACTACCACATTTGGTGTGCCCCCTTTGAGGTTTTTTATAGGTTGGGTAGTTTTGCTTGTTTTGAGATAGAGTCTCACTATGTTGCCTTTTTGTGTCAATCAGGCTGGCTATGTTTTAGCCTCTCAAGTACAGGGGTTAAAGTTGTATGCTGTCACACTAGGCTTTTTAATAGGCTCTATATGGGTAAAGTTAGCATCCTATTAGATTGATAGAGTGCTGAGTACACACACACACACACACACACACACACACACACACACACACACTGTTGGATGTGAGAACTGAATTGTTCTCCTCAGTTCTCTTTCACTGCCTCAGGTCCCTCAGGTTGGTAACTGATCTGTCAGCCAGTTCCAGAGGGAGCGTGTTTTCTAGAAATGGTGTCTGATGGAAGATGTTATCTTTTTTTTCCCCTCACAGATTTTGAAGCAAGCTTTATAAGGCTGTTGGACAAAGTAACTAATGGTTCTCGAATTGAAATCAACCAAACAGGTACGCTTCTCTGTTTCTAAAAGCACCGACATGTACTGTGTAGGCATTCCTCTGCCTCTCATTTGAGGGGTATAAATACTGTACTTTGTTAAAAACACTCTACTAACCATTTTGTGTTATCTAAGCCATCATCATGAATGTGTGGAGAGGACCTTTTGAAACTAACCCAAAAAAGTGCTAAGTGGAGATTGTAAGAAAAGTTTATTATGCTGGATCATTAATATATTAGTTTCAACTGTAAAGACCCATGTGTTCATGGTATGATTATGTATATATTTACACACACAATCATACCATAAATACAAACATAAATATATGAAATCTCCCAATTTTTAAGAGCATAACAGAACTAAGGCTATAAGTTAGTGGTACAGTGCGTGCCTAGCTTGCTCAAGGTCCTAGGTTTAATCCCCAGCACTGGAAGAAAAGAAATAAGGGAAATACACTTGACTTAGAGAAATAGACAAGTGGCCATTTCAGACAAAAGCGAGCATTCAGTGTTTCATATACGTAGCATATACGTAAACTTTCTGAATTTAACATGTGTGATCCCAGATATTCTGTATTGTTGTAGGTACTGAAATCTATTTTTATGCAAGTTTCTATAAATATATTTCAAGAAATTTGGCAGTCCCGTCAGCCCTTGAGCCCCTGCCTCGTCTAGACTCTCCTTCAGGTAGTCGCGTCACAGCTCCGGGGCTGTGCTTTTCCTCTTCGGTGGCTGCCATTGCTTCCTGCTGGCCTGTGCGGGCTCGCGGTGTGTCTCTGCGTTATAGTTTAGTCCTTTACTGTATGGATGGGTAGTCACTACTTAACTACCCCTGTTGATAATCTTTGGAGTTCCTTCATAGTTTTCTTTTTGTTACTGGAACCATTATCTGCATTGACTAGGAAGTAGGTCAGACATTGGCTAACACCATGAACTGTCCATCTCCATTCCACAAAGGATTCTTTAGCCTTTCCCGCATGTTGCCTCTCTTAGGAAAGAAGGCAAATTTGGATTCACAGGTGGCACTGTACCAGATGTGCTGGTCTCTGTCTGCATTCTACCACACCTCATGGAGAGCAGACCCAGGAATGAGATGTTCATCTGTCTCTTTCCAGCTGTGCTTCCCTTGATAAATGCAGTGACACAATTTTTTTGGATTGCATAAATCTGAACTAGGATAATGATGTGGGTCTGCTGACAAAATAAGTTGAGATATTTCACTAACTAATACCAATTAAAATAGATAACACTGATGGAATTCGATATCACAAGAACCTGGGTTATGTGAATATCGTGTTTGGTAAGTGGGGTGAGTGAGAGTCCTCATTTGAGGGGAGTGTACAGACTGGACCACTGGTGTGCTGAGACATTGGTCCACAGACCTATGTCTTGGTGTCTTAGGAGCCTTCTGTGTTCCACTGTGACTGTGGCAGCTTACATAGCTTAGGAGGAGTTTTATATATTACTGCCATTAAATTGTACCCACAGTTTATTATTGTTCAGAGGCTTGGTGGTAGTGAGTCAGCTTTTGACATGAGATGTGGACTCTGAGGAGTGATATTTTGAGCTCCCTGGATGCCTTATTCTGATTCCCCTGGGAATTCACTACATTTGTTGTCTTCATATTTAGTTTTGTTCCTGCTGCATCATTTGTTTGTTTTTTCTCTTGGTTTAAGGAACAACCTTGTATTACCAGCCTGGCCTCCTGTATGGTGGGTCTGTGGAGCATGACTGTAGTGTTCTCCGCAGCATTGGCTATTACCTGGAGGCTCTGCTTTGCCTGGCTCCGTTTATGAAGCACCCGTTAAAAATCGTTCTGCGAGGAGTGACCAATGACCAAGTTGACCCTTCGGTGAGTACTGAGGTCAGACTATGGTGATTTTTCTTCTGTCTGTTGTCATGGGCCAGTTTCTAAGAAAAACGTTTCTTATAAGCACAGTTCGTTTTCACATGCATTTTGTTTGCCACTTACCTTGAGAGGTAGAGTTAGGTAATTCACTCCAAGACACAGGAGAATTCAGACCTGTGATCATCAAGTTGGAGATGATGGTTAACATTCATCAAAGTGCCTTCTCTGCTGTGTCTACAAACCTTCAGAACAGATGCTTGCTGTCTCATCATGTCATGCTGTCTTATCATGCTTGACATGAGCTATGGCTCTGCTGGCTGCCATGTGGGTGGAGTCTCTGTAAGGTCGTGTGAGCACTGAGGCTAGAGGGCAGCAGATCAAAGTTTTAGGCAGGAAATGCTTTCTCTGGGCATTGCCTCAGTCCTGTCCAGGCCTCGGCCATTACCTCAAGGACTTTTCACTTAAGAAGCTTCAGACAAAGTGGGCATGAGGGTGGAGAAGGAATGGATGAGTGTTGGTAGCTGTGGGAAATGACAGACTTCTCACTAAGCATGTTTATTTTCCTATGGATAGGAGGAAAATGGTTTAATACCCATCAACAGTTTTCGTTTGGCTCACCATAGTTGTCAGTGTCTGCGTTAACATCTTGTGGGGAGGGAAAGAGCCTACCCTTTAGGACACTTTACCGTCTAGAAGAGGCTTTGTACAGCTGATGGCCACGCAGTGGTCACTGAAGAGGCATCTTATCTTTTCTGTAGATGCAGGCCACGGCAGCTTCTGAGGGCAGCTGCAGGGTGTTGCAAATTTCCTGACTGGGAAGGAACAGTTCATGGCGACTACTCATACTTACCAAGGTTTCCACTATGGTCCCATTATATAATGTGTTTCTGGGCAGTTGAGGACTTACTCCTCAGTTCTCGGAAACTGAACTACATGGACTCTTAACAGGATGCTAAGTACAGTGCAAGATTTGCAGTTTTCAGCCATGAGTAAAAGAATGCTGCTCTGTAACCTGTTAGAATTTTAAATTAGAGCTGCTTGCCCCATCTCCCCCACGTTGTCTGGAGATTCTAGGAAATGGTTTCTTTGGTTCAAATAGGAAAGGAGGCCCCTGCACTTTGGCTGTAGGTAGGTAACGTGTCTCAAGTAATGGTAAACGCAGGCTTGGGATTTCAGCACTGTGCCCTCTGTCTGTTTCAGACTCATCCTATAATTGCTAGTGCTCACAAGCACTGATTAAACACGTTTTTAGAAAACACTTTATGTTTTAGTAACAACGATCAGTTGATGAATTCCCTAGAAATAGTGCTTTAACCTTTTTGTAGCGTGCTTAAAGCAAATCTGTTCTCATAGTTAGGGGATGCTTTACTTGCCAGCTCTGACTAAAATGACCCTGTTTAACCTGACTAGATGATTAAAACAAAGGCCTAACTTGGGTAAGGAGTAACTTCCTCAAAATCCCCCAACAACACATTCCTCAGCCTATAGGATCTCCGGGCATCTTCCTTTCACTGTCCCTCTGTTGTGCTGTTCTCCACATAAAGCATGGACTTCATGAGTAATTAATTCTTCCCTCAAAGAACTCTCATTCTCTTGGGGTGTGTAGCTGGAAACTGGAAGGCAGAAGCTGGCCCTGATAGAGAGATGCACAGCTGGACAGAGTCTGTCTTATTCTGATGAGCATTGCTATAACAAAGTACCTGAGACTGGGTAGTTGATAAATTAAAACTTTCTTTTCTTCTGGAAACTGGGAAGTTCAAGAGATGGGGCATATTGTAACGTGGTTGAGGGACATGTGAGATACTGAGGCAAACCTAACCTTGTATGAGAAGCTTATGTGAAAGATAACTAAGCCACCTACCTGATACTGGCCATAGTCTGTTAAATGAAGGCTGCATCCGATTTGCTACATCACCTCTAAAAAGTCCTGTTTCTCACCAGTGTTGCAAGGACAAATTTCAACCTAAGTTTGGAGAAGACTGTCAAGATAGAGCAATTAGGGAGAGCTGCTACAGGAAGGGAAGCCAGCCACTGTGGGTTTTAGGGAAATCCTCGCATAGACTGCCCTTTAGGTTTGTATAAGGACACTGCATAGTTTCCCACAAGGACAAAATCCCCCAACAACACATTTCTCAGAACATCTCCCATTGTTAAGTGATGCACAACTCTTATGTTTTTGGATGTGTTTAGCTTTAATATTTAATAAAATTAGCTAATCTTTAGTTTGCTGGCTCCTGCCCCTGCCACACCCCGTCCATTCTGAATGTGTTCCTGGGCCTTCTGTATCAGTTCTACTTCTGACCACCCGTCTGCTGCTCCTGGAACCTCATTGGAGGACCATTGTATTGAATCACCTGTTAGGCTGTGGCATCATGGAGATAGCAAGGCTTGGCACCTGTCTTTGGGAAGGACATTGAGATTGATGTGATATTTTTGACCAGAGCCATGTAGCTCATCAGAGGCTGAGTGTGGGACCAGGACTAAAGGCTTCTGGTCTCTTCTGCTTATGTAGCTACCACTCTTGCTTCCTTTCACAGTGCAGCCTCCCCAGGGCCTTCCGGGATATGGAAGAGATAACAGTAGTTGTCAAAATCCTGCCACAAACTGTCAGTCCTTTTGTAGTTACTGTTGGGGTTTCAGTGCTTCATGTTTTGAGGACATCATTCCCCCGAAGCCCCTACCACGTGGAATGAGCACCTGTATCGGGGGATTCTTAGGTAGACATTGAGGAGTTCATTTGGTTTACTCTGACCTGGAGAGACAGCAGCTCTTAAGTGTTAAAAAGAACATATGTGTTATATATATTCTGAAGAGATTAATAAATTAATGTTATAATAATAATTATTAATAAACTAATAAAATAATGCCATGGATACCTATGAAAATGAACAGAGGTCCCAGTTTGTTTTCTGTGGGAGTCCAGCAGTCTCTTGAATTTTGTTTGCTTCTTGAACTCTATCTACATGTTCAAAATTTAATTTAAAATTCTTCTTTGAAATAACTTATAGGTTGATGTTCTTAAGGCAACAGCACTCCCTCTGTTGAAACAGTTTGGGATTGATGGAGAGTCGTTTGAGCTAAAGGTAAGAATGTGTGAGCTTCTGGCTGTATATACCTAAGACATTTTTTTTTTTTTTATTTAACTTATTGGAAGAAGTGTATGCCACATTCCACATCATCATATATCATGAGGATTTACAGGGCTTATTAACTGATGCATCAAACTGTGAACTGAAAGAGACCCTCTAATAATGGCAATAGTAGCCAGCAGTCATGTGGCACTTACTCTGCGGGAGGTACTGTTATGAACACTTACATTACGGAGTCCTTCACATCACACCACAACTGTTGGTTAGCCGAGGAATAGAACTACATGGAGTCTGGCCCTTTGCCTCTCTTGTCTGAATCGTCCTGGTATAATTTGCGTCCCGGAGCTCCTGAGAATCCGTGGTGTCTTCAAAGGCTAGTGGGAATGATTTAACCCTCCTGGGTTGGGGGTCAGGGAAGCCATGTTTCCTGTGTCTGCTTTATCGCCTACGTCCCCTCATTATTTTATGTAGATCTTACGACGGGGAATGCCTCCAGGAGGAGGAGGCGAAGTGCTTTTCTCATGTCCTGTAAGGAAAGTCCTGAAGCCTGTCCAGCTCACAGACCCAGGAAAAATCAAGCGGATCAGAGGAATGGCGTATCCTTTGCATTAGATACTAATTCTTTCTTGCCTCGTAAAGAGAGTAGCTCCACTTCTTTCCACTGTTTGCACATTAGACAACAGTCTCATCAAAGTGTTAGTGGTGAAATTATAGTAATTGAGATCTGTTTTATTATGTGCCTCATGGTGACATGGTTGATCATTCCTTTTTCTTCACTTCCTGCTACACTAGCTGAGGATGGAAGCAATTCCATGAAGTAAAGTTCTGATATAACACGTAAAATGATGTAGGGGTAGGAGCAGTGGCTGGGGGATCTGGGACGAGGGAGTGGCCAATTATCTGGAGGATTTGGGGGAGGCTGGAATCACAACAGTATGTTGTGTTGTGAAGTGCTTCATCTGTGTCCTTTGGAGGAGGAAGATTACTTTATGCACCTCAGTGTTAAGGTTCAGAAAGTTCCGAGTTAACTCGAATTCTACTCGGCAGATAAGGGAAACTGAGGTATAAAAGCTCTGTTTGCTAATAATGTCTGTCACATAGCTAATTGGCACAACTGGAATTTAAACCTTGTCAGTAACCTCAGACTTTTAACCTCTGCTTTTTTCCTGGAGGAGAGCAGGGACCTTTGAATGAGCCTTCAAGAATGGAGACTTGTGAAGTAGGGCAAGAAAGGGGGGTGTTTGTGTGAGAAAGCGGGCCTTTGCAGAGGAGGTGGCGCCCCACCATTCTGGGGAGTGGCTAGCAATGCAGGCCAGCAGGACTCAGGTGGTCAGTGACAGTTGATGAACACAATGGAGTATGAATTGAGCGGGACCGGGGAAGAACTGAAGGCCATTTTGAGCAGTTGGCGTTTATTTAAAAGTCAATGATTTTCATCTGGAGAACAAATTTGGGTATTAGGAAGACAACTTCCGTGGTCATGTAAAAACTTTTGTGGAACATTTGGAAAGTGTGGTCGTGGGAGAAAATCACCTAATGGAAGCCACTTAGAGGCAGTGGTCACAGAATTATTGTGCCCTACAGAGAGGCAGGGAGGGTGGTAGTCAGGATGGGTGAGAGCTGCGAGTGAGAGAGGGTTGTAGAGGGAGAGCACCTGGCACAAACGGAAGAGGATTGGGAGTCATTGGGGACGGTTTTGATGCTTCTTACCAAGGCTTGCTGGTAGGGATGTTTGCTACAAAAGGCTGGGGTAGGTGGTAGAATAGGGGTGAGGGTGAGTTCAGTGTTACACATGCCGATTTTGATGGCTCCAGTGAAATAAGTCTAGAAAGGACATTGGAATTGAGGATTTGTAGCTCTGGGGCAAGATGAGAGCTAGAAGTGAGTTGAAGTCAGCAGCCACGAAGAATGCAGAGAGGAGACTGGAGCCCTGAGAAGGATAGGAACACCTGGCAGAATGGGTGGGCAGTGCAGGGTGATGGTGGAGAGATGTGGCAAGCTGGAGAGGCAGGATGGAGCAGTTGCCAGGATGGGCATCACTTAGTAAGGTGGCAGGGCTCACCGTTCTGGAGAAGGCAGAAGGGCAAGGGATTGGAAGCCTGAGATTGAAGATCAGGTCCAGTGGACATAGATGTGAGTGCCGTGAAGAACTGTGGAATCAAATGTAGGGAATACTGTTGGTGTTTTGTATAGGAAACTGGTAAAGGTAGCATTGTCCTTCCTGGCTTTCCTTGCTAATGGTCTTTGAACCTTCCCCATGTGGAGTCTGAGGCAGAAGACACTTGGCAGGTTCCTTCCCTCTTGAGTGAAGCAGGGACAGAACATCTAAACTGGCACAGATCCCTGGCAGAAATCGGCCCACGGAAGCACTCACAGCTCTCTTGCTCACATTCCTCTCCAAGGAGCAAACATTCCAGCCGAGCCGTCTTTAACAAGCCGTGCAAAGCAGCGCAGGCTTGCCTCTCCACCTTGCCTGTTTCAGAACCCGAGGAAAACGCTGACTTGGGAAAGCTGTAGTTAGTGTGGGTTTCACTTGTAGGGCTGGTTCTGGCTGGACTGAGCTTGTTCTTGTATTGGGAGAACTGTGGTTTTAACTGATGGCCACCCCCTGCCTCCCAGTACTGCTTTTTCCACTTGGAGACCAATGACTAAGTAGACAGGTCCTGGGAAGAAGCTGCTGGTGGCCCATGCCACCATGATGGTGTCCAGCAGCCGTGATTAGAGACCCTTTTATTGACCGCCATCTATCCACTCTGACAGGGTGCACAATCTCAGTTTCATGCTGCTGATCCAGAGCTCATGGTTCAGCGTGGAGGAGTTAAGTGCAGAAGCTGGGGTCCAGGCAGGAGAGCCGGGTGGGTTGGGATTTGTGGGATCTGGCTGCTTTTCCCTATCAGTACAGAAGCTAGTTTGAGTCTTTTGGTCTGTTTTTGCATTCACACACCATGTACCACACATGTATATACATGCAGTGCACACCAAAACACAGCCTTGTCCTCTGCTTTCCCTGTCTCGGAGGGGGAGCAGGGGAGGAAGCTGGTTTTTTGTTTGGTTGATTTGGTTTTTGTAGTCAGGTCTGTTTCGCTTTGAGCAAGTGTCTCAGTTCTGCATCCTAGGGGCTTACCCTGTAGTAAGCTCGAGAGCCAGGACTTAAGGCCCCGTCGCGGGGTTGATGTGAGCATAAAATAAGGGGATAGGTGTGTGAAAGAACTTTGGGATCCGTGAGTGCTGTGGGGTTGTCTCAGGGTGGTGGTATCTCCTGAGCTGTCCTGGAGTGTGGGTAGGCTCAGGTTCCAAAAAGATGGCACCCACTCAGTCCAAAGGCTATGAGACCGGGGGCTGTTTGCCTCAACTGTTCAAAGTACACTCTGGACAGAAGAGGTGGTGGTGATGAAACTGGACTCTTTGTGTATTGAAAAAGTCTTTTTTTTTTTTTTTTTTGCTCTTTCCTCATTTCGGATTTGTCCTTTGAGTCCAGTCAAATATTGATTGAACGTTTCTGAGTACAGAAGTGGAGTTTGGGGAGTTGTGAGGGTACAGCAGTAACGTCCCTGCCCGTGTGGAGCGGGGACAAGATGTGTCTAAAGGGAAACGAGGGAAGTTCAAGGTACTGGCTGCAGGACTTCTAGAGGAGGCATCTGTGGACTGAAGAGTGATGGAAGGCAGTTCAGGTTGAAGAGGGCCTGGATGGAGGTAGGCAGCGGTTCCAGCCTGGGGGTGAACTTACTGGGCAGGCTGGAGAGTGGGCAGCAGGATCCAGGAAGGTTGCTCTTTAGCAGGGTTCAAGTCCAGACAAGGAGAGGAACAAGCTGACAGGTCAGGGTCCATGCACAGCATTTGTTTCTTAGTTCTAATGAGAATCAAGTGTGTTATTGATAGTAATTATTGGACAGCTTTGTAGGAATGGGCAGATCACCCTATGTGGAGTTGGTATGGATTGATAGCGTGGTGGTGGGAAGACCACATGTTCTTCTTTCCATTGCTCAGTTCTGTATCTTTGTCTGTGTATCTCCAGCTCTTGAGGGTACACTGCACTTTGGAAGTGGGGTCAGGGAGAATCTGTCTCGGTTACAAAGTTTTAATTTGGGGTTATTGGTTCCACATCCTCAGGCACCCACCCTTTTTGCTAATTTCTTCCTCCATTTCTGGAGTTCCTGTTGTAGAGATCTGGGTAGTAGTTTTCACCAGAGAGTAGTAAGTAGAGGCCCCTCTGTCATCACAAATGTAGTAACTGATTCTTAAATAGTAGAAAACGTGTGATCTTTAAAACAGCAGTCCCCTTGATCTTTCACGAAACATTTTCTGCTTTCCTGTCCCTCTGTGGGCATCCTGGGAAGTGGGCTGGGATGACCCAGGGCCACCCCAGTGTGGTATCTGGCTTGGCCTTACATTCTTAGAGAGACTACTTATAGCAGTCAGACTCCACAAGGAGCAGAGTGTTCCCTGGTCTTCACAGGGGCCTGATTGTGGCTCTGAAGAAGCAGGCATCTTCACACTGCAGAGTAGAACAGTTACAGAGAAAAGGTGGTTGGGAAGGCAGGGTTGGGCTGTGAGTCCTGACTCATTCACTCACTCTCTATATGTATTTGTTGGTTTTTCAAGATAGGATTTCTCTTTGTAGTCTTGGCTATCCTGGAACTTACTCTGTAGACCAGACTGGCTTCCAACTCAGAGATCCACCAGCCTCTGCCTCCCGAATGCTGGGATCAAAGTTGTGCACCACCAACGTCTGGCTTGACTTTATACTTTCCATTATAGGAATGAATCTAGATTCTTTTTCATGACTGTTTTAACCATTTTTTTAATAATGAAAAAAATTGAGCAATGGAACTATGAAGCTAAATAGTAATAGTTGGGAGACAGTGGAATTGTAAGTCTCAGCATGACAAAAGCTTCCTAACATGCTTTTCTCTGCTCTGTCGTCCAAGTCTCGTAACTTCCTTAACCCTGGGCTGCAGGTACTCCGTGCGCGTATCCCCTCAGATGGCAAACCGGATTGTGGATTCTGCCAGGAGCATCCTCAACAAGTTCATACCAGACATCTATATCTACACAGACCACATGAAAGGCGTCAACTCTGGGAAGTGAGTGCACTTTAGAACAGACTCCCCAGTGGGAATACTGCACCACTCCTTTCTGGCCTTTATTTTTTCAGTTCTCATCACATTGGTTTGGATCTGAAGTTTCCAGGTTTCTGTCCCAAAAGTAAAAACACTGGATTCTACAGTTATCTACTTGGGTTAAGAAGTCACTTTTTCTCTAAGGGCAGCACAGCTGGTCCTCACAGCTGTTTGACAGTCTCGGACCTGAGCTAAGAGTGCAGGTGAGGAAGGGGCGGTTGAGTGTGAGTGGGAAGTCTGGCCTTTACACCGCCCAGTGGAAAGTGATGGTGTCAGAGGTTAGGACTGGAAAGATGTGTACACAGAGTTGGCCCTTCCCTCGGCGGGGGGAAAGGTCATTGACATTTCCATACCTTTTATTACTCAACCACCAGAACATTCTTCATTGACACATTGAGTGTAACGATGTATCCCAGGATAATTGCAAACATTAAATTTAAAAGGCATATGTGTATATTATAAGTGTATCTAGCACTCAGTACATATTATGGAAATGGCAAGCCTTAATGTTGGCCTTTTCTTTCTGCCTTCTACCTTAGCTGTAGGTCTGGAATTCGTGGGTCAGTTCTTTTCTGACGGGGATTGCTGAGGCCTGGGGGAGGGCATGTAGGAGCACAAGCTGTCTGAATGTTCCAGGATAGTCCGTTCTCTGACCTCTTGCTTCACCAGAAGGTGCAGGAAAGAAACAGTGCAGGCCTGGAGGCCATGCTGCCTGCCACCAGCTACAGTGTAGCTTTTATAGTGCCATTGACCCAGCCGACCTGGTGCATGGTCAGATTCAGTGAGGAGCAGCCGTACATATAGATCAAGATACGGACATGATGTTCATTAGCTTCAAACTCGATTTTAAAAATTAACGTATAAAACCAGTATGTGACTTACACTTGTGTTTAGTTTTTAAGTCCCAAGTTATGGTAATAAATCATTGTGAAGTCACATCTGGATTATTCTCCAATCTGATCCAGTGATGAATCCACATGAATAATGGTTGTTGCAGTGTAGTGTTTATGGCCTGAAACCCTGGGAGCTAGCACTTCTTGGTGGCCTGTGTTAGCACTTAGACCAGCATGCACATTGGTTCAGTGTGGTGCATTTTGACTTACACAGTCATTACTTTAAACAAAGAATAAGGCAGTTCTTTATGTGTTGGAAAGCTGTGGAGATTGTGCTTTGCAGATTCCCGGTGCAGATCCTCAGTGATGTCTTGTGCATGCTGCCACCATGCTAGATGTGCAGTGTGTGTGTGTGTGTGTGAGTGACTCAGGCATCTTGTATGTTGCACTGGAATTTTCTATGTCTCTCTAATAATGAATGATATTTGTTAAACATGGGTCAGATTCTCTGGAACCTTTGCTTTGGCAGATGTTATTAACCTTTGACTAAATAGATAATAGTTTTAAAGAAGTTAAAAACTGGGCAATAGAATTCTTCCACGTAGGGAGTCAATATAGTGCATGCAAAACATCATTAGCCAGGGTTGGTGGTGCATGTCTCTAATCCCAGACCTACTTGCAGCCTAAGACAACAAGATTGCGAGTTTGAGGCCAGCTGGGTGCTACATAGTGAAATACTGTCTCTAAAAATAAAAATGAAATAAACATCATAATTAAACCTATAGTTTTTCTGGGATTCTTTTGGCCAGTGTTCTGGATATAGAAGACATTTTGAGAACAGCGTTGAATGGTATTAAAGGAGACAGCATGGTGTTGCAGTTGTGTATGGAGTGTGCCATTGGTAAAGCTTTCTGATGGGTGCATTTACTTTGCATTGGACAAAGTACGTTTGAGGCATCAAATCTGGCAAATCTGTGGAGAGGTGCTTCATTTTCTTGTTTACTGACTGGTTATTTATTTTCCTTCTGGCTAAATTGGTTGTCACTGTGTTTTGTGAGGACAGACTCTCAGGTGTTTACCCAGCATGCTCCAGTTCCTGGCTGTGGAAGCTTCCCCCAGGTGCTTGCTTGTTGGATGCATGAGTAAATTAGTTGTGGTCCTGGACAGTTAGGTTCTAGCTGTTGGGTGGTAGAAACACGGCAGAGACCACAGTGCCAGCTCATTAACTATACGTCAGTGAGTTCCCAGTTTAGTGCTGTCTCCAGACAAAAGTGCAAAGATGTAACTCCTTTTGCCCTTTCTGGTTTCATACTTCTCATTATGGGAAGCATCTGGTCTTTCTCAGACTTAAAGTAAAGTCAGATGGTGTCCTGGGCTGTAGTACGTTCTGAATTGGCAGCAGTTCAGGGTCGAATGGGAACCAGAGAACTTGCTAGGCTCTGGAATCTGTAAGGCCTGCATTTGAGACTTACCTTTGTCACTTTCAACTGAGTGGACATGGTCCAGGCTGCTTATTCTCAGCATATTCTCATTTGTAAAATGAAGGCAGTGGTAACTTCTAACAAGACTGAAGTAGCCCCGGTGTTATTTGCATGCTTGATACCTAGAATCCTGTTGACACCATATTCTGTGAGTCTTTGTAAAGAACAGGGAGGGAGAAAGTAAGGAATTGGAAATGCAGACTTGCCTCTTGCCTTGGTTCTGCTTTGTGTGCCTCTGTGGTGATATATTATATACCCCAATAAAGCTTACCTGGGAATCAGACGACAGAGTCAGCCACTAGATTAGACATAGAGGTCAGGCAGTGGTGGCACACACCTTTAATCCTATCACTCGGAAGGTAGAGATCCATCTGAATCTCTGTGAGTTCAAGGCCACACCGGGCTACATGAGAGAAAGAGCCAGGCACTGGTGTGACACATGCCTTTAATCCCAGGAAGTAATATGGCAGGACACTGGTATATAAGGCATGAAGAAACAGGAACTCACTCTCTTGAGGCTGAGGATTTCGTAGAGGTAAGCTATTGGCTGGCTATTCTGCTTCTCTGATCTTTCAGCTTTCACCCCAATATCTGGCTCTGGGTTTTTTTGTTTTTTGTTTTTATTATTATAAGACCTTTTAAGACTTGCGTTACATGCCTCAATGCTCTGTGTTTCTTTAAAGAAGAACACATACCTGTCTTTGTATGCTACTGTGTGTACCTTCACTTACTCAGTGTCTGCCTTTGAATCATTAGGTCTCCAGGCTTTGGACTGTCGCTGGTGGCAGAGACTACCAATGGTACCTTCCTGAGTGCTGAACTGGCCTCTAATCCCCAGGGCCAGGGAGCAGCGGTGCTTCCTGAGGACCTTGGCAGGAACTGTGCAAAGCTGCTGCTTGAAGAAATCTACAGGGTATGTCCCCTCCTCTGCAGATGCAGGGAAAGGGGAACAATCTGAAGAAGGCAATTGGTGTCTGTCTGTCTTTATTCCTTTCTACGCACTTAAGCTAGAGAGCTAACCTCCGCTTGTGCACCAAGCGTTTAGAATGAACTAGTTTAAGGGGTTCATTGAATTAGTTCATGAGCAGAGAGCTAGCTCTATTGGGACATAGAACAGATAAGTTTTAATGGAGACAGAGGAGAGAAATGGAAGAGTCAGAAAAGGGAGTGAGCTTCAGAACGAAACACAGAAATAGGGAAAGTAATGTGGAGTCTGGCACACGGACCTGACCAAAAAGAACAAGCGTTCTTGTTCTCGGTCTCTCGCTCTTTCCCCATCTGTTTTTATTTTATGTGCATGCATGTATATTTGTGCACCACATGCATACCTGGTGCCTGCAGAGGCCAAAAGAGGCTGTCAGATCCCCTGGAACACGTGGCTGTGAGCCAGTGTTTGGGTGCTGCAATGAATCTGGGTTCTCTGCAAGAGTAGCCAGTGTTCTTAACCACCAAGCCATCTCTCTCGCTCTGGGACTACTCTCTCTTATTCCCCCCAACCCCCAGTTGTTCTTTTGTGGAGATAGGGACTCACCTTCAGATTTGTCAAGGTAGAAATCTGGGTTTGTATGTGGATAGATTTTGCAGTATATTCTAGAGTACTGAAGACTGTCTAGGGAAGGCCAGGTTGTCACAGCATGGTGGAGGCTCTGGAAAGTGTGAGAACTGGGCAATGGTAAAGAGAGACTTCGCCATTTTGCTTCTGCAGTTCTATGGGTAGGATTCAGCTCAGGTTGACTGCATTCTTCATGGCCACAAACTGTTGATCGCAGGTGCAGTAGACACATAAAAAGCACACATTTCACTGTGCCACAGCTGAGGTGACTGACGGTAGGAGGAGATTGTGAGGGAAGAGAAGATGCTAGCAAGGGGAAAATCCATTCCTAAGAGAGCACGTTAAGGATCCGATTCCCAGAATGACCACACAGTGGAGGACTGCTGAACATGGCAGCCTGCTCTCCTGAGCCAAGCCTGGCATGGAAACCTGCCCAGTGGTCATGTGACAAAAGTCAGCATTCTCACAGTGGGGATGGGGAGACTGAACTGTTTCAGAATTAAGTAAACACTGGTCCTAAGTGGCTGTGTTTAGCCTCATTAAGTTAGGAGTGCCTCCTGATATACCGAAGAGCATGCATGGCATAGCCACTGTGCTTGATGCTGGGAGCAGTGGAGACAGGAAGTCAGGTCCTCCTCAAGACATGGCCTGTCAGGAATCTTGGGTAGCCCAGGTCTGGTGCAGGTTTTTTGGTGCCAAATTCAGTTCATTTTTGATGACAGATTCAGCGTTGGTTTTGAAAGGAAGTGATTAGATGTGTGTAGGTAAATGATGAAGCCATCGACTCACCAGTTACCTAATTCATGAGGTTTTATTAAATTCTCCATCTCTATGTTGTGTTGGGTAAAGGGTGTGGTGGGAGTTAGCTGTCTAGTCTCTGAGGTCCTTGTTGGCTTGTGTAGGTCTTCTCTTCCTGACCTTGTGGGCTGGATCGTCCTCTCTCCGACTGTGGGGACACTTCTGTCCCTTTCTAGTAGACTGTGGGAAAATGAAAAACACTGTGTTCCAGAGAAGTTCACCAGGCACCCATGGGCACAGCTGGAGTTTGGGTTTCGTATCATTGATAGCAGACTCCAGCCCTGGGGTAAAAGCATAGCCTACTAGTTCCAGGAGGAAAACATCCAGCCTGGATTAGGTATTGAATTCTTATCTTCAAATGAGATCTTTTAAAAACCTTTATTGTTCCTCAACCAAATTTGCTTTGTTTTAGTCATTAAGAAAACTTAGTGTGAGTGTCTCTAGTGTTTAATTAGTAAAAGGATGAAATACTGAATGTTCTTTTGACTACTTCTCTGTCTGTGATGTGACGTGTAAATGATAACCCCCGCCCCCATCTGAAGGTGCTCCTTTTTTTTTTTTTTTAAAACAAAATTGTGAGTCTCTGACCCGGTTCCTCCTGCTCATGGGTTACCATGCCCTACTGGTTTTTCCCTGCTGTGCCAGCCACTGCCCTGCTCTCTTTCCGCCTCACCTCACTTCACACTCCTGCGGGAGCTGCTCTCCCTGTCCTCAGAGGGGAGGCCCTTTCCACATCCTCTTCAGCCTCCCTCTCAGTCTGTCTCGCCCTCCAAACTTGACTTGATCTCTTCACGTCTGTGCCGAGCCCTGTGCTGGTTCCTTACCTTCCCGGACTGCAGTTGGTATGTGTGCCCAGTTAGGAAAGCCCCACCTCCCGTATCGCCCCTCCCCCTTCCCCTGAGATTACACGAGTCTGTAAAGAGCCTGGCCTCTTTCCCCTTGGCTGGGAGCCATTCCACTACGCTGCTCTTCTCTTCTTTCCAAGGCCTGCCTGTGCCCTCCAGGCCATTTCAAAGGCCTGCTCCCCAAAGCCTGCTTCTGTTGTTGGACAAGTCACACCCTCCTCTGTGCCCTCATATCTTGTACCCCCCCACCCACCCCCCCCAGTGGTGTCCTGTACACGGATCCTGACATCTTTACTGCATTAACACCTCACTCCAGTACCTAACACAAGTCAGCTGAGGATGGTGCAATAGAGCTCCGCGCAGGAACAGACAGAAGAGAATAGTTTAATTTTAGGCAGTCTCAGGAAAATGAACAAGAGCTGTGAAACAATTAGTTGTGTTCGTCAGACTTCCTGTTGTGTATGGACAAGAAGCTTTTGTCCTAAAGTTTGCTGGATAAATGAAAAATGTTTCTTGTTCTTTATTAACTTAAGGAGAGGAATGGGTTCTCAAAAGGCCTACTAAACTGGGAGTGACAGCCGAGGACTGTTTGCTTTTTTTAAAGACACGTATTTAAACAGCAACTCAGCTGACATGATTGGAAATACAGGATGAAGAAAGGAAGCGACCCAAACAGTTGTCCTTCAGGATGAGCGTTTTGAAGAAAATTGTGTTTTGCCTGTGCTTGGAAGAAGAAACAGGAAAGGAGTCTTGGGGAGAGAGAACGGCTCAGTAATGAGAACAGGTGGTCTTGACCCTTGGCAGTGCCAAGTCATGGGAAGAGGCAACGAGCAGTTCAGAGCAAATGGGATGAGTGCAGGGACACCTCAAAGATAGTCCCTCAGTGTGTGATGACTGCTCTGAGACACACCCAGTGAGCATAGGTCGTCTGCTTAACCCTTGGGCAATACCCTGGCCCTCGAACTGTACATGCCTTCTTTACTCGGTCAGATGATGCCCTCTGTTGCCCCAGCTATGAAGGGAGGAGTTCCATTGTTTTTCCCCACTAGAGGTATGCCTGGGAATGCTGACGACTTCCTGTGTTGTCATGTTGTCAGCTGTTGCTTGGGTTAGCCCGAGCTGCTTGCTAGACCAGATGTCCTCCTCAGGAGCCCATGTTCCATTGTTGCCGTGTGAACTGCAGTGCACTGCTCCGGAGCCTCTGGTAGCCTGATGGTTTCTGCCTTCCTCTCCCTGCTTGCTGGTTCCTCTTTCTCTTTGTACTAGAATTAATCACTAGAGTGTTTGTGTTTACAGGGCGGATGTGTGGACTCGACCAACCAAAGTCTAGTTCTGCTGCTCATGACCCTTGGACAGCAGGACGTTTCCAAAGTCCTGCTGGGACCACTCTCCCCCTACACGTAAGCTCTTTTCAGTTGACCTCATTATTCTGTTCAGTTTGATTTTCTGATTGTACAGAATGACAAGGCGTGCTGTGTGTAGCCTGTGACCACAGCATTGCGCCTGCTTGTGTTGGTCTTTACCAGCCAGCAGTTGTGACTGTCAGCCTAGTGTTTGGTCACACATGGGTTTGGGACTTCCCTTCTTCTGTGACAGCTGTTGTCCTCATGTTATCTGAGCCGTATCCGGTATAGATTGGGCAGTTCTTGTGTCTGTACTTCATATTTTCTTAATTTTCTGGAGATAAACTTTTATATAGCTTGAAGTTTTTCCAATCCCATCTTTCTGCTAGCATTCTTTTTTTTTTTTTTTTTTTTTTTTTTTTTTTTTGGTTTTTCGAGACAGGGTTTCTCTGTGTAGCTTTGCGCCTCTCCTGGAACTCACTTGGTAGCCCAGGCTGGCCTCGAACTCACAGAGATCCGCCTGGCTCTGCCTCCCGAGTGCTGGGATTAAAGGCGTGCGCCACCACCGCCCGGCTCTGCTAGCATTCTTAATGTGGCATATGGGTTATTTTTCCATTGATATGAAGTATTCGCTGGCTGGGAGAGATAAATTGATAGGAATGTTGCCAAACCAGTTGGGAAGTTACAGAGGTGAGTTCAGGCAGTTTGGATATTAGCAGAAATTAACTGCTAAGGTATAAAAACTTTCATACTCCAAAAACAGTAGCTAGCCAAAAGAGTCAATTTACAGAGCGCAAAGCGAAAGAAGCATTTCTAGTCAGGAGTAAGTGAGCAGGTTTGAAAATAGACTTTGTGTGTGTGTGTGTATGTGTGTGTGTGTGTGTGTGTGTGTGTACATGCATATGCATGTATGTGTACATGCACATGTACTTACATGCTTATAGACTTAAAGGTAGCTGTGTGACCAGCTAGGGGTGGTAGATTGGGGGGGTGCAGGTAGTCTGAGACTGAACTGTCCTTTTTCGGTTATCATGGTACCGATGCTGTATATCTGAAAGGTACAGTACTGTGATAACTGAAGAATGGTGGTGCCATCACGTTGGGGTGGGGGCGACGCTTTGGCAACCGGAAACTTGGAAGAGAATCTTTTACTTTTTGAGTTGGCAGTGGGAGTTTTTTAGAATGGAAGAAGAAAGAGAATGCACTGTTAGCAGCAGGGGAAACTGATAAGCAGGACCTGAAGAACCACACATTATCTCCTAATAGTGTGTGTGAAGCGTTTCACAGGACAGGAAACCTAGAGTTGAGTAATCCGACCACTTCAGTAGTCAACATTGCTCCAAGAGAATGGCACTGGGGCTTCCAGAGAGGAGGTGGAGGTGAGCACATGGCCCCAGGTGCAGGAGTCGCCTCCCGTCAGAGTTGCCTGAAGCAGCTGGTGACTGTCTGAGCATCCTGGGGCTGTTGGCTCCTTAGCTGGTCAGTGCTGTGTCCAGCTTCTGCTCCAGGGCAGCGGAGGCCTCGTGGCTCTCCTGGAGACAGACAGCAAGAGCCACTGTCTCCAAATGTATGTGGACATCATGTGAACTGGGAATATATGTTTTTATCTGTTTTTTTCTTGATGCTTTTTTAAAAAGTTGTTTTTGGAGAGTGTTTCAGTTTGGCTCTGGGGCCTTGTATAATCTTTTAATGTCTACAGCCTCTCTGGAGATGACTAGGATATGGCTGTTCCCTTCTCAGCATGCCCTTCACCACATAATCCTTGTAGGTTTCCTTTCTTCTTCCAGAAAACCTGAAATTACTGCAGCTCCTGGGAAAACAGTAGTCTGCTCTGAGTGGAGCGTTAAGAGTAGACCAGATAGGAGCGTTCTGTGCTTGGAGATTTGGGCCTGAAGCTTAGACACGTGCTCCTTCCTCTGCGGCTTTATGCAGAGAGAGGGCTTTTCCCAGGGTGGGAAAGTGCACCGGAACCCCTCCTGCCACCCGCCCCACCTGCCCCAAGCACTTTTCGATGTAAGCAAGCACAGTCAGAGGAAAGGGAGTTATGTTCAGCCAAGACATGTCTGTGATTGGGACCCTTTTGTCCTTAATCTTGTGGAAGGCTCCAACATCTCAGAACGATAAAGGATGAACCTGGGACCTTACAAGCATAATTGCATCTATATATTAATGGGACAGGTTCCATGACTCATCATGGGGGTGGGGAGAGTATCACGTGCATTTTCTTGTGCCATTAAAGTCATAAAACACAGTTTTTAAACCTCACTTTCCTCAAGGAAAGCAGAAGGAAGAAGAGTCATGGTGTGAAAAAAGCGTGTGTATTTCTTCTGGCAGTTTGCATGTGTTTGATGTCCTTGAGTGGCATCGTAAGTGCCGTCTGTGGAGCAACAGGACTAAGAACGTTTTCTCTCCGTGTTCAGGTTCCTGCTGGGAAGTCAGGGGTGCTGTGTTCCTCCCTGCCCTGCCCTCCCCATTGCTAGAGGAGGGTGCTGTTTCCATCCCTCTGTACTGTTTGAGAAAACAGTCTACATAGGTGAACTTTTTGAGGCCAGGTTTTTTTTTTTCTCAGTAGAATAAGTATTATTAGATGCCAGTGACCTGTAAAGGGAATCTCTCTCTTTTCTTTTTCTTTTTTTTTAAATTTGAATATTGTTGACTTCCAGTTGGTGACAGTATTTCTACCCGGTGCCTCAGAAGCTTAATTTTACAGTTTAGGGAGAGATTATACTTTATTTAAAAGTTGAAATAACATCAACAAATATATATATCAGTATATCATCAGGTGTCTTAGAATGCTTAGAAATTGTGACAGGAGGTCAGAGCTAGCAGGCATCGGCTTTCTGCCTGTGCATAAGGCCTTGGAGTCCAACCTGTGTGGACCTGAGCGCTGTCTGTGCTGCAGAGCCACCAGGAGGCTGACGGTGAGCATCACCCGCCCGCTCTCAGTAACGCGGACGGCCCTGAAGTCAGCAGCTGTGCAGACAGACTGAAGCATGGCTGGTCCGGTGCTTGGCAGCGTTCCTGGCACTGTATCTGAGGAACTCATCCTGCCTGGACACCCCACATCCCAGTCTGTTCTCCCATCATGTCGCTTTGAGCTCCAGGAGGTCGAGTCAGCTGTACATTAGCTACCGAGCTGTCTGTCAATCTGAAACGATTCCTTTTAAGAGTTACGATTGACTTCTAGTCACACCTCTTCACCAACCGTACATTCTTATTTATTCTTCCCCAGAATTGTGGAAGTCGTGTTTGTTTAATAGACACAGTGTTTACTGTGAGCAGAACACTTGTTTGATTGGTTTTGGGTTTTGTTTGTTTCTGTTTCTAGTACTACAGATCAAACCAGTGAGTGCCATATGCTGTTCAGCCAGGCGAGTGCTCTGCCACTCAGCTAGACGAGTGAGCCTCAACCCCCAGATAATATTTGGAAAATGACTTCTTTTTTTTTTTTGAGATTGTAATAGAATTACATCATTTTCCCCTTTCCTCAAACCTCCAAACTCTCCCATAACCCTTCCTTTCTCTCTTTCAAATTCATGGTCTCTTGTTCATTAATTGTTACTTACATGCATGCATACATATTCCTAAATACATAAATATAGTCTGTTCAGTCTGTGTAATGTTACTTGTGTGTTTTCAGGGCTGACCATTGATACTGGATGGCCAGTAGACGTGCCCTTCCCTGGGGAGACTGTCTCTCCCGCTCTCAGCCTTTCCCCGTTCCCTCTGGTTTTTGTCTAGGGTGAGGCCTCATGGGCTTTCCCTCCCTGTCTGTCCACTTCAGCATGTCTGTTGCTATTGTCCTTGTTCAGCTTATGTTTAGGCAGTCATGCTGGTGAGACTTTATCGTTGTAGCTTCTGACATTTCTAGACGCCACAATCTCACAGTAAACTCCGTGATCCTTTGGCTCTTAAAATCTTTCCACCCCCTTCCAAAATGTTCCCTGAGCCTTAGGTATGGGAATTGTAGGCGTATCTATCCATTGGGACTTGGCTCCACAACTCTGCATTTTGATTGGTTGTGGTTTTCTGTAGTGGTCTCCCTCTGTTGCAAGTAGAAAAATTTCCTTGATGTGTGAGGACTGCACTTAGCTGTGGGTATAAGGACAAATATTCAGAATGTAGTTAGGGCTTATGCTGGCTTAGAAGTGGTGCTTGTAGGTTCTCCTCCAAGATCCAGGACCAGGTGTGGTTTCTCTCTTGTTAAACAGAAAGATGTCTTTGTACATCTTTTAACTGATGTGGTTTTCAACATAACCTGTGTGAGTGAAAAAGTAGGTGCTGTTGTGTGCATCAGAGGTGGTAAGACATGCCACTTGCCAAGGTCACACAGAAAGCAAGTGGGGTTCTGACTGGGATACAGCTTCTCTTACCACTGTTAGCTCATGTAAGAGCTGGGGTCCTGTCCACTGTCACCGGCTTCTCAGTGCTTTGCTGACAGAGAATATCATGCTACAGCTTTCAGAGGTCCTCATTTCAGCTTCTGCCACATCTTAGACCATGACCCTTTAAACTTGGGTAATGACTTCTTTCCTTTAGCTAGGGGAGTGCCCAAGTACAAAAGCCTCTTCCTTCAACCTCAGGCGCACCTCAGCTGCTCAGGGCTGCTTGCTCACACAGCCAGGCACACCCATGTGACAGTCTCCTGATTATTATTGGCTTTGCTGCTTGCTGGGAGGACTTGCAGGGAGCACTTGCAGCATCCCCTGCCTGATTATTGACTTTGCTACTTGCAGGGAGCACTTGCAGCATCCCCTGCCTGATTATTGGCTTTGCTGCTTGCAGGGAACACTTGCTGGGAGCACTTTCAGTGTCCCCTGCCATACATTTATCAAGTGCAGTGAAAGTTGAAATGCCCTGTGACACTTTTTATATTTCAACCTTAGGAAATGTTTGGATTATAGTAAAATAAAATGATCCCTGCTTGTGGAGAGTGGTTGGCTAAACTCAGCCTGGATCCCTGTGTGCCAGCAGTGCAGCCAGCCTGGTTCTCTTTCCTGTTGCCTCTCACCAAGTTTAATAACGTCATGCTTGGAGTAGAGTTTAAATGTTGTTGG